AAAGAATCCCTATCTTTTATAAGAATAAAGTACATTTCGTTGACACACTTTCAAGACGAACCTATTTCTGGGATACCGCAGTTCCATGTGGATCAGAAAATTGCCACAATGTAGTACAACTGAACCCTGATGAAGACAAATATTACCTTCTTACCCCATATCCCACATTAATGCAGTCACTCAAAAAATTTTCACCAGAAAGCATTCGAGCTATCGCTCGAAACCCAAATATCGACTTACAATCAATTGGAATATATTCAAAATCCGAGATCCAACATCACATTAGAACACAACAATTCCAAGAATTATTAACACAAATGGACACTATACAAAGACAATCAATTGACCAAAACTTACGCAAACTTGCCGAAACCGCAGGATTTGCAGATATTTATACACAAGATTATAGCGGATATTTTAAAGACATTAAAGACTATATATATCTAAACGGTGAAAAATACCGACCACAAGATATCTCACCTATAAACATTTTTAGCTTCATTACACTAAAAAATGAAAATCTTGATTTTCTAGGATGGCCCTATTACATCTTAGAAAAGTTGACTATTCTATACGCAATGTTTAACTTTATAGGATTTCTTTTTTCACTCTTAAAAGGAATCTATAACACATGTGCTATACACACACAAGTCAATAGACAAGCAAATGTAGCACGCATACTATTTGCAGGATTCTTTGGAATTTTTTCATCATCAATAAACAAAATTCTTTTAGACACACAAATAAAAGAATACAATACAAAAATAGCAACAAGACAGAACACATACGACGAAGAACATAACAATGTAGAAATAACGCCTACAGCACCACCGTTACCACCCCTACCACATAACCATTCATTATCCCTAGTCCCACGAAATTTTCGAAATTTAGCAATAACACATAATCCAAATTTCAGACCAACCATATCACAAAGTCCCATTCAACATATAATGACACATCAGTCACAAGATGAAAATACATATGAACAAATTATAGAACAACCCCATACCACCGCTTTTCAGTCTCAAAATAATAATTTTTTTAGCCCACGATGAGCCGACAACTTGGATCCCTTCACCGCTCAAATTCCCACCCAACCAATCTCAACACTCCAATTACTATAATTCCACTTTTTGCTTTCCCGCCACCCGATTTCCCATCTAGTAATATAACATCAGGCATGAATTCAGACACTAATTCAAATATTTCAGTTTTATACTCCATTTCACAACTCAACAACCCTAATATTGAAACCCCCGATGAATTTGCAGACTCCGAACCATCTCCATCCAATAATTTTCAAATAAACTCCTCAAATTTTTCAACACCCCCCTTTCAGCCAATCCCACCAAATAACCCACTCCCATCCATTTCTACACCCTCTTACGCTTCCCAAGTCACCCCCACCTACTCGTCATTTCATTCAGACCGATCATCCAATTCTCCAGATACTCCCCAAATCTCCCAAGAACTAGATAATTTTATCACCCTACAACAACAACCCTTCCACCTTAACACCCCAACTATAAATCAGATTTCATCCACAATAGAATCATCAAACCCATCTACCCCTACACCCTCTTCAGCTTATACCGTATCATTAGCACAATCATCCACATCCACCGAATCATCAAATAGCACTAACAGAGCCTATCGCACTTTCAAAAGAAAATTCCCACACCATCCTTTTCCAACAAAACCAGGAACAGCCCGTGAATATATTAATCATCCAAATCACACTAACACGAAAGAATTTTTAACAATCACCCTACCTTCATTTCCACAGTATACTTTAAACACCCCTCATGACACTAACGACACACGTAGCTTTGTAGACGAACATGTTTTAATGCCTACACTTCATTGGACATCATATTATCATTTTACTAATCCCCTTTGCCTACCATTATCTAATACTCACATCGATATAGAACGAAATCAAGATATGCTATACCGACTCACCACACCACTAACACATAGACAATTTACTTATATAGGATATAAAAAGTCACTAAAAACATACACTGCACCCCGAGCTAACGAATATACGCTAGAATATTACGATCATAACATCATCCGAACTAACCAAGACCAATTTTTAGATGATGATTGCTTCGCTAACCCACAAATCACAGAAAAATTCTTCATTAAAACACCATATGTATTTACACTCAATATATTTGATCGCAAATTCGACCACGTCATTTCTGAAGCACTAACCGACACACAAGCTTACGAAAGTTTTAAAGAAAGATTTCAATTATTTTCACTAACCTTTCATTTCCTTGCACCACATGAACGAGATTTGCACTGCTCACACGACATTATGTTACGCACTAAACAAACCCACACATATCCATACTATCGCTTCATACAAAATCATTTTGACCTGCACACTCCATCAAGACAACCACACCACCGTTTTCAGTTTATTAATTCTAAATACACTTCCCCATTTTTCCTTAACTTCACATATTGCATCAAAGATACTAACCTTCACGGTATTCTTCGCAATTATGATCCCATAACTCAAATGTATATTTTTTGTCCCATCACGAAGACCCTTAACGCAGAAGAATCCAGACCCTTCCTTATCCCACATGAATTTATTCAACCTATAGAAATCCCAATATTAGAATTCATCCACAACACTAAATACAATCACAAATTATATAATCTCATCCAAAACACACCTTATGAGTTTGCAGTTGGCACTGAAGAACTAAAAACCATTAAAGCACTTCAATTGCTTTGGCCACTGCTTCAAACTAAAAACATCATTCGCATACTAGCAAAATTACTAACAAATTCCGACATAATACACGACATTTTCCCCCACGGTTTTTTCCCCGACGACTAACAGGTAAGTATAATTTCTATATATTCTTCACTAATAAATTCAAATTAAACACTAACCATTCTTTATCCATGTCTCATTTAAATTTTTAGTCTTCATCCCACGATCATCTGCAAAAAACACAAAAGAAAAATAAAAAATAGAAAACTTCTTCAAATTCTTCAAAACTCTATTAATATTTTGCACCAGCTAAATTAAATAAAATTCATACCAATGTAGTAAATTAGTTAATAAATTGTTTCCCCACAAGCAATAAATCTAATAATGATGAAAATTTGTAACTTAATTTTTCCCAAAAACTAGCAGTAAAATTGAAATTCTATGTAGTAAATTGATAAGACAAAAAGCAGTACTAACCTTTTGATATTTTCATTCACTCGCACAAGAATTCTATCCAAACTCGCACAGCTTGCCCACGAAGAATTGTTTAAATAATGAATTTCAGTATAAGTTTTCACACTCAACAACTCTAACACACGATAACAAGTTTCAAACTTTCCTTTAACCCGGTTGGAAAGGAATTATATACTAAACAAAACTAACCAACGCAGCTTACTAAATACCACAACACATAGAATAATAGCATGACTAAGAAAAGGAAACCAACGGTACCCAAACCGGATTAACCCAGTTTAAAACTGGATAATTTATTCTTTTGAAGACTATTATAAAGTCTAAGAAAGAAATACTAAAACACAAAAAAGTCGAAAGACAAACCCATACCAAAAACAATTTGATTTTTGAAAAAAGGACACAACCAACGAAACATAAGAAAAACCACCACAAACCCGACATAAAACGTTATCACATAACAGGACCTCTCACAGAAACCGCACGAAATCATATTCCCACTCCTGGCCTAACCAACCAGAGAGGACGTCTTGAGCATGCTCTATAGCCGGCCTAACCCACCGCGCTACATCCACGCTTTTTGACCACACTTCTATTTTTAATAAGAGGTACTCAAGGGTGAGTAACTCTTCAAAATAACCGAACTAAAACAAAAAGCTTTTGTGAAAACAAATAACCAAAATCATAATTAAAACACTGAACTAATAAAAATTTTATAAAATGTAAATTATACTTTGCAGTATATAGATCAGCATACAACACCAAAGACGAACATCCAAAGACAAAATGACCCCACTACACTCGAAAAAGAATGGCCAACCACAATCAATATGCCGTCCACAATCACAACTCAAAAGATTTAGAGTACGACTTGACTTCGCAGAAAAGGACTTCATTGAACTAGACCAATGACCACCTCGATGTTCAAGTATACGTACAGATCCGAGTAACCAGGCATCCCCTCCACGCACAATCTCCACGCCATTCCCAGACAAGGTCAAACACAAAAGAAGTTCTCTACATGAAACAGAAAAACCTGTCATAGCCAACCATTCTGAAATCAGATTTGAGTTTGTTGCGAAAACCCAGTCGTTGTCATAAGAAGACACAACGATTGAACCTGGAACTTCTCTAACAAGAGAACCCAGAAGAAATATGATGTTCGCCAAATACCAACGTCCATCATCCATCCTTTGAATTGCAGAAAAACAATTCTAAAAAACTCTGTAAAACCCGGATGGGTGGAACCTGATCTAAACTACATTTTATGATTGGATAAATTAGATATTTTACCACTGTAAAGTATTTAATATTAACCAATCATGATCCATCTAACTAACAACCCACTTATTTGTAAGTGCTGGAATTACTTGTAATTTCAGCACCAGAGAGATTTGAATTTAACTTAGAAATTAGTTGTCTCTCCAAGAGAACTTCAGCAGCCGCAATAAACCAGTATACCCTAGATCTATTGAGCCTAGCAAAGACTAGTTAAACAACCTGAGACTAGATAGTATAAGAGTAAGATTAGGATCGGTATTAGACTAAGAAGTTGCACGAATCTATCCGGCCGAAAATAAGATAGCGTGACGAGCAGACGGTGTACCCTATCCGAAATTACTCTATGAGTTAACCACATCGGACCTAACTCATTACCTTACAAGTTTGTTCATATCGTGGTACTTATGACTGTTTTTTTCCGCAACTACATGCAACTACAAAGTTGCTTCATGCTGTGTGCTGCACATCGATCTTGGTTTAGTTGAAAAAGTGAAGTTGTTCTTTCTAGGATTTGCACGATCTTCTAATGCAACAGAAGTCAGCTTGCGACGCAATGATCGAGGAGAAGAACAAGCTGGTGAAGGAGTTCCAGGAGGAGTTGAAAAGCAAAGACGACCAGTATGTGAAGGACCTGAAGAAACAGGCGGAGGACATCGACCTGATGGTGGAGCGAATGGAGGACCAAATCAAGAACTTGGCCAAAACTCATCGCGAAGAGCTGCTGCAGGTGGAGAAGGCGTTTGTTTCAGAGAGGAAGGAGCACTTGCAGAGCAGTAATGCCAAGTTTGAAAACCTCATCAAGTCCAAGCAGGAAAAAGAGGAAAGTTACTTGGCGAATCGACAAGCTAAAATGGAAGACAATGAACGAGTTCTGCAACAATTGCGAGTGAAAGACGCCGAGGACTACAATTCTGTCAAGATAAAAATGGAGACTGACGTCCAAATTCTGGAACAGCAGGTGCAGCAGATGAAGGCAACCTACCAGTTGAACCAGGAAAAACTAGAGTATAATTTCCAAGTTCTAAAAAAGCGAGACGATGAAAACACGATAACAAAAAATCAGCAAAAACGAAAAATCACCAAGCTTCAAGACGTGCTGAACAACCTTAAAGCCAAACTGAGTGAACAGGAAAAAGATACCAAAAAAGGAAATGTTTCTCTCATGGAAGAATACAAAAAGATATGCGAACAGTTTAAAGACTTGCAGAAAAAGGTTAAAGTTTTCCAAGATGCTGACTACAAGAAATTTAGAGACCTTTGGCTAATGAAAGAGGAAATGTGTCATGCAAAGGCAATCAAATTATTACAAGCAGACCGAGTTATAACGGAGCAGCATTTGGGTCAAATCTGGAATGAACCGGATACTTCAGTGCTTCAAAACCGAGGACCGATTATGAAAGTGGAAAAATTAAAGAGCGAGAAAACTGCTGTCGAGTTTGCGCGTGAAGTTCTCGGTGGTCAATCGGCATTGGGAAGCGGCGCAAGCGATGCAACGGGTGAACATCAGGGCTCTTCGGTGCTACCGGGAGTCGATCCGGAGGAGGAGGAATCACCCGACGGCATTCATGTTCCGATTGACGGAGACGAACATGAAGATATTGCGGAGATGGAACCTGCGATAATACAACGGGTTCTTTCTCTGTTGACTGACGAATCTGGGTTTCTAATGGAATCTAAGCTGAAGCAGCTTCTTAAGCCACTGGATGGAGATGATCAAAGTCTGATGCGATTGGATGCTATTTTTCAGGCACTGGGTGTTGACACAGAAACGGATATACACAAACTTGCAACCTACTTCCTCAAATACAACATGACACCGCGGTCAGAATCGAACGCAGACCCGGACGAGGAGGTGGCAAGGATTATTGAAGGTCACAACACTACCAGCCAGAAATATGACGACGTTCTAATCAAGCAAAACGATGTGGTGAAAGCGCTGAGAAAGTTCATTCAGGAGAATCGCAAGTTACATGTCAACCAACAACAAAGTATTTTCAAATCTCTCCAAACTCTGGAAGAGCGCAATGATTCCAAGGACAGTGAGTATTGGCGACACCTGGCCGACATTGTTCCGGTAGAGCGTGAGAAGTTGTTGACGTCCCTGCTAACGGCCGAAGAGAAGTATTGTCAGATTTTGAAGGAGAGGAGCAAGTTGGTGAATGACACGGATAGTCTGAGACAGCAGAACGCGGAGTTGAGGCTGCTGCTGAACCAGTACATCAATTCGAAAGTAAACCAGGAGCTGGAGGTGCCCCCCACCCGAGTACTTCCCTTGGACATTCTCAAGTAGTCGCGGGCGGGGACTGGAAAGAATTCGCTGAAAAGAACTCTCGTCATAGTAGCTTCCGTAGTGCGGTTAATCAGCATACAGGCAAAACTTACGATCAATGTCAATCACATTGAAAAAAAAAGTTGAATGTGCCAAGCAATCAAAGACATTTTTAGAGACATTTTCAACAAATTTTCGCACTTTTTGGTAATCCGTCAGTTTGGCTCTTTTCCACTTTACCCCACCTTTGAGTTTCAGTTTTGAACAACTGCGTAAACCTTGTTATAATGCAAAGAATTTGACATAGTGAACAAATCAACAATTGTGAACAGATTTGTTATTCATACTTAACATCGTAACATCACTCATTTAGCCACAATAACACGTTTAAAAAAAAACTATAAAAATAGAAAATTTGAAATTGGCGGGTGTGAAAGGGCCGTTAGTTTTTGATAGGAAATTGACTACTGTAGGTTGCCTGTGTGCTGTTGCCTTATTTTACTGTTGAATCAACTCAATTTCTATCCATAAAATCTAACAACAAATCTCTTTCTTTACATTTTGGTGTAATTGCAAGTATGATTTTTGAGTTTAGATATGTTTTTTGTTGATTGTTTTTCGGCTTTTTTGTGGTCGATTAAGCTCTCAATTCGTTTTCCGAAATGTGTATGCCACCTTGACTTCAGTACATATATGACACTCGTGGATACTATATGGGCAGTAGATAGTTTCTTATCAACTTTGTTTAGCCGGAACATTTCGGTTGAAATTCAGCTTATTGGCTGTCGACTTTAATTCTGGCGGCATATTCACCAAATTTTTTGTTTCTTTGTTTCCTAATAAGGTCCGATATTGTTCATGAAATCGATAAGTTTCTGGCGCCAAATTTTTCAATGCTGAAAGTCTATACCATTTGAGCTCAAACATCTCTAATTCAAACTATTGCATACACCCTCAAACGAAGCAATTAGTTTAATTACGCATTCTAAGCGTCACGCGTGCAAGTCGCCACGCCCCCAAAAAACTTACTATTGTTTTCATTTTACTAGTTTTTTCAAGGGTAGTATTGTTTGAAGCCTTTTTGTTAATTCTTGATTGTCATGTTGTTTTAGGCCTGTACTTGTTGCATCGCAAGTGGTGCGAAGCTCAACTTCGCTTCCGAGCGAAAAAAAATAATGCACAAATTAGATGCTTAAAAATGGACAATATGAAAAAATTTAGTTGATTAAAAATCATACGATCACTGGATACCCATCCTACAAAGAGTGACCCTTAGAACTTTTATCTTAAAACTCTTATTTGTAGGAAATGTCCGCTGTCTATGAGAAAAGTCGTAAGATAAAAGTTTTCTCCAAATTCGAAACAAATTGCCGAAAACACTTTGAAACACTTTGAATGTCGTAAGATAGAAATTTCCTCCGAAATTCGAAGCAAATTGACGAAAACACTTTGAAACACTTTAAACGTATTTCTACACCGTAATAAAAAAAGGAAAAAAAATTAAAACTTTTCCGTTGTTTTCCATTTTAACCCTGCAAAATTTTTTATATAATGGTTACACTGTATGCTTTTTGAGCAAAACATTTCAAAAAAATGGCTTTTTTTTACAGTTTTTATCTTAATTATACATCAAAATTTGAAACAAATTGCCGAAAACACTTTGAATGTCGTAAGATAGAATTTTTCTTCAAAGTTCGAAGCAAATTGCCGAAAACACCCTGAAACACTTTGAATGTATTTCTACACCGTAATAAAAAAGAGGAATAAATTTTAAAACTTTTCCGTTTTTTTTCCATTTTAACCCTGCAAATTTTTTTATATAATGGTTACATTGAATGAATTTTGATCAAAACATTCCAAAAAATGGCGTTATTCTACAGTATGTATCTTAGTTATCCATATTTAGCAAATTGAATTTATTTTGGGGCAATAAAATTTATTTTTGACGAACATGTCATAAAGTGTCGAACGTGTTGTTTGTAGGATGCAGTTATATATGGAAAAAGTTTTAGAAATCAGTAAAACAACTCTAGAAATTCAGTGGATATTTCAGTAAACTCACAGGGCCTAACGAGACATTTAGCCTGCACATTTTTTGGCCTACCGTTTTTGTACTCTGCGACAGTGAAGACCTATTTAGCGACAGTTTGTACTCTGCGACAGTGAAGACCTTGAAAAATATTTTAGGAAATTTCTTATAATACAAATTTATTGAAGAAAAAAACTATCTTTTAAAATTTTTAGAGCTTCTTTTGTAAAAACTTAGTAAAATTTTTATAGGAAAAATTCAACGACATCGACTTTAAGTCAACCCGGGTAGGTCTAATAATCGATTTGGAATCAATTCAGAATCTCAAGTGAGCATATCTGTTTGGGTGAGGAAATCTCCCCAAGTGACTGCAGATTACTGTAACACTGTCAGAGAATTTTTTGAGCTTAAATTTTTGTGATTAGCTTGATGCAAATAGTAAAAATAATTAATTATGAAAACTGTTTTAAGCTAATTTGTTGGACTTATCCTCACGACACCAACGAGCCAAAATTAATAATTTTTTAGATGTTTTATTCTTTCTACTGTTTTGTGAAAACTCATCTAGATCAATTTAAAACGTTCAAAAAAATTTAAAATTCAAAACAGTAAGAAAGCGTTGAAAGCCGTCATAAATCCGTAAATTTTAGAAAATGGGCTTTCATAATCGATTTTCTATTGTATTTTATGTCTATAAAACTCTGTTTAAAACGATTTCCACCCATTTTTGTCAGAGCGGTAGCCCTGTTGTCTCAATTATATTATGGTTTGAGAATGAACAACAATTGTTCAAAGCCATAGCTGGTCCACTGGTGTAATATTAATGTTTTATCTATCATTCACTAATGCATTAATGGTTGCCACTCACACAGCTACTGTTTCCGGTTTCTGTTTGACCTGGTTTGATTAAAAACCTGATCAACCTCAAACAATTTATTGACAACTCAAAACATGGTCCACTTTTGAAGGCTGAGTTGTTTTACAAGTTGCCTCTTTCGGTTTTTCCTTCCTCTTCTACTCTGATTGTTATGGAGTAAAAATACTTTTTGATCTTTTTCTTGATGTCTCTGTTAGCAAGTTTCACCTTCGTCTTGTTTTTATTCGGGGCAACAGGAAGAGGAGTATAGGTGGAGGAATGGACGTCGTTGAAATAGAAAGGATCAACCAACCAAGATGTTGCACGAAGCCATATGTTGGGAACAGCCACTCCCTGAAGCACACAACCAATCTCAATAACTAGCTTAAAACACCCGTAGAGAACAAAACGTCGAATAATGAACCAACCAAATAACTGCCCTAAGTTACAAACCAGAAACATAATGCTTGTTCCGGCTGCACTCTTTTAGAGTCTGAAGCAGCTGTGGTTCAAAAAACGGGTACCGCGCAAACATCCGATATGTCAAACATCCGAAAGCCAAAAAGTGCTACAAATATCGAAAAACCAGCTGTGCTAGGGCAAACATCCGATACTTTTTGAAAAATAAGGCAAGCATCCGATTTCGATTGTTCGTTTAAAAGAAGCTGTTTTGGCCAATTTTCAATTACAAACAACCGCGGCAAATTCGCCTAACATTTAACCAATATGAATTTATATCAAGAACACCAGATCCAAATGAGTTTTAGTGTTAATGCATGATTAATAAAATTTTTGTTTAGTTTTTTTTTGGTTTTCTTATGAAAGTAAAAGAGGAAAGTGATAAGAATTAAACGTATTAATACGCAATTATATTAGAGCTCATATGGTTGCTATTTTGGAAACAGTTAAAAAGACTCTCTCTTGTTTTAGAAATTCTTACGTCATATTAATATGTAATTTTTGTATAAACTCGGATGTTTGACATATCGGATGTTTAACAAACTGAAATGCAATGGATAATAATCGATTATATTTTCATTGTATAGTCTGTATCTATAAAATTACAAAAATAATCGATTATAATCCATTATCATAGATTATAATCGACTATAATGTAATTTTTGAGAAGAAAATATTTTTTTGCAACATTTTTTCACAGTTTTCTTGGTTCGTGCAGTTGCTACGTATTACGTTTCATAAATTTTCATTTTTCACAAGATTTTATTTATTTAAGTTTTCTCTACTTTTTCTATACTACGTAAACTCCATCGCCTCTTTTGACAACCCCCTTTCCACAGTTACATATCCAACCCTCCCCCCCAACCCCCCCCCCCCCCCCCCACCCCCGTGGGCTGGTAAAAAAAAGGGGAGGGCGGAACAAAAAAAACGTGGGTGAGGGGCTTAATATGGAGAATGGGGGAAATAGGAGTTGTTCACACTGAGTAACCCCCCCTCCCCCGTCACCATTCAATGGTAAACAAACGGGAGGAGAAGTAAACTGTAACTTGGGGGAGTTGGGTTTGGGGGTAAACTTTAGTAAACATGGAGGTGGGCGTGGCGCCGCCTCTAAATACCACGCGGAACCTTTACGCAGGAATTGCCGAAACGTGTGCCTCGGTTGCGAGAAATGCCGAAACTAGCGAGCAGTTTCTTTAAGTGACGGTCCTAGAAGCACCTTAACTTAACGACCCGCCGCCAGTTATGCGAGCGGTTGAGTCGGACCATGGGTAAAACCCCCCGTCCACACTGAGGACTGCGGAACAAAAAAATCCCGCTACGCACGAGCCGATTAATGTCGAATATGCCCACCCTTAGCTGAGTTGTTTTCTGGACTGTTTACATTATCTGCTCACGTCGGGAAACACGCCGTTTCCACTCAGCTCCAGAAATCACTCAGGTCCAGAGAACAGCAGCGGAAACAACAGTCGCGGTCTCAATCATTCTATTGCCCACCTTTTGTTCCGAGTTTATCGTTATTGGACCGAGGAGTTCTCGAGTCCGGATTGACATATTCTGGCAGAATTCCTTGGTGTAAATATTCACGAATATCGGGACGACAAGGAGGGTCCCCGATGGAATTACGTCGCGGGGCACAACGCGGCCGGGATGGGCGCGGAGGCAGTTTTTTTATACTACCGTGTCGAAAAGGAGTGGCCTCAACAAGGGGAGGGACATTCGACGTTAATTACGGCGATGCGCCCCCCGTATTTCTTAGGCAAGCCCAGAATTAGCAATTCTACATTGAAAAAATTATTTAAAAAAAATAGTCATCAAGACGTATGTAAGTGAAAAACATATTCTCTTATTAATGATATTTTCTCGTAACGGTCCGCAATGGGGTTCCATGAGTCATAATTGATAATAATGGATTTCTATGATATGTGAATATGTTCTCCAAACAACATTTAAATAATCTGATTATAATAGATTAATAATTGATTGTGAACCAAACAAAAACGAAACCAGTGTCAACTAATATAACCGATTATAAGGGAATATAATGGACCTATCATGGATTGTAATGAATTATAACGGATTATGTTGAATTATGATCAATCATAATTTGTTTTACGCAAGAGCCATGGAAATTATTAACTCAGATTTACATTTGGCTTGTAATTTTTGCTCTTTTGTTTTTTTTTTTTTATTTCTAACCATTTTATTTCATTATTTTCTATTTTAGGGCATCGCCGCCATGCCTACCAATCTCATGGGCTACCAACTCTTACTTCCTCCACTTTACCACTCCTTCCCCCACTATTACCTCCTTCTACACACGCTTATCCCACCCCCATTTTAGCCACTTATTACTCTTAGCCCAGACCTACAAAACTTGTCGTATTTATTGTGGGCGGTAGGTAGGTTCGGGTAGGGGTTTTTAAAATTGAAAAAAGCGTAAAAACGATTTTTGCTCTGTTTTTTCAATGATTAGAAGTATTGTATCAGAAGTATTGCTGGGGTTAGCTGTTGGGGTTAGGTTGGGGGTAAACATTGGAGTACTTCACACGGAAGGGTGTTGAAAGTATGATGGATATCGTTTTG